TCTCTCTCTCTCTCTCTCTCTCTCTCTCTCTCTCTCTCTCTCTCTCTCTCTCTCTCTTTCCCCCCCCCCCTTCGGTCTGCGTGGACATCGACGCCGCAGGCTTGATTGCCGCAGCCCGTCTACAGAACGCCATGCAGGAAGACTTGCGGAAATGCCGCTCTGAGGTCCTCATCCTCCTCCATCTTCCTTCCTTCAACTGCTCTCCCCGACTCCTATAGATGAAGCCCGTTGTCATCGCCGACTATATTCCGTGGACTATCGATCAGACGCATTGGGATGGCGCGTGCAGCCAACTGAAGTTCAAGGCTAAAAACGCTTTCGTTGCACACTACCGCCACTTCCCCAAACTTGTCAGTTGGTTCGACCTCGGCGCGGCAGACCGAGTCGAGGAATGTCTACCCTTCTCATCACTCCTCCTCCTACCCCTTCTCGTCATCGAGCGTTCGCCCCTCCTCTTCCTCCTCTTGGAATGCAGGGCGAGCGTGCGTTCCGAGCTGATAATCAATTTCCCCGAAAGTACGTTCGACTCGCAGCCGCATTCGATGACCTCGGCGAAGACGTCGAGATCGGCGCTTCCGAGCTGAAGCCATACGTGCACGAGGGGGGGGAGGAAGAGGAACCAGAGGAGGCGAGATATCGGGAGTGAACCTCTCCCCCTCGAGCTCCTCCTCCTCCTCCTCTTGCATCCTCCTCTTCCCCCGCCTCCCCCCCCCCCCCCCCCCCCCCCCCCACCCACCCACGCACCACACCGCCCACCCCCCCTCCCCACCCACCCACCCCACCCCCCCCCACCCACGCGCGCACCCATCTGCTGGCGCCGTTGCCGCCCCCCGCAAGGCCGACAAGTTCAAGCGCCAGCCGTGCGCCCGCGTGGACCCTGCGACGTTGGCCACGGCGGGCCGTGGGGGCGAGGGCACGGGGATGTTTTTGGATGAGTAGGTGAATGGCATGATGCAGGGGAGAGGCTGGTGGAATCACGATCCCGTCCTCGGATCTCCCACTCGAAGGGCATATCCGATGAGGAGGGGGGGGGGGGGGGAGGCGAGCCGCGCTGGCGCCGGGCGATCGTCGGGCTCGAGGACGTCCTCAAGCTGACGGGCGCGAATGGGGTTCAAGAAGGATGAGGAGCACAGCTGGGGGATGCGAGGGGCAGGATCAGGAGGGCGATGCGATTGATGAGGAATTTGCGAGGGTGGGCAGAGGAGGCTACAGGAAACCATAGGAAGATGAGGGCGACGAGTAGGAGGAGGATGGGCGAGGAGTAGAATGAACGAGGAGGAGGAGGAAGCGGAGGAGGAAGAGGAGGAGGCTGCAGCCGACTTGATTGCTCGCTTATTCCCTTTGTTGCTCTTGCTGGTCCTCATGTTCACACCTCCTCCTGCTTCTCTGCATCGGTCCTCCTCCGCCTCATCATCCTCTGTCTTCGTCTCACCGCTCAACGTCCTCTCTTTCGTCGTCGCGTTCCTCCTCCTCCAGTGCGTGGTCCGCCCCGCCGCCCAGGCAGTGGCGTCGTCGTGGACTTCTCGAGCTACGCGCCCGAGTGCCAGTCGCGCCCGAACCCAGGATTTTTTGAAGGCGCGATGAGGGGACTACGTTGACTACGAAACCGACGACGACACAGATGACGAAGATGACGATCGACGACGACGACGACGACGGCGACAAAGATGACGACGGCGACGGCGGCGGCGACGACGACGAAGAGGACGATGAGGAGGGTAAGGAGGCTGATGATAAGGAGGCTGGCAGGGGGAGGATCGAGGACATGGATCCGGATCGAGGACCACAGGAGGATCGAGGATCGAGGAGGGGGTCGAGTCTGATAGGATCGGGATGAGGCTCGAGGATAAGGAGGCTGACAGGAGGGGGATCGAGACAGAGCAGCTCGTCTCGATTAGTGTGATCGCTGGCGGCGTAGTCGACTCGGTCGCACCCTTCAGCACGCCCTAGCCCCCCTTCACCCGCTGTTACCTTTATGAAGTTTCCCGCTGTGATTCAGGATATCCTAGGGTGCGCCCCTGTGATCGCAGCTTGTCCTGTTCGCATTCCCGAGCCTAGAAAGCGACTAGTATCGTCTTATTCCTCCTCCTCCCCCCCCCGTTCTGTCGATTCTGACCCGCCCACCAGGCGCGGGGCCCGATGTGCAAGCAGCCCCGCGGCATCGGCGAGGGCAAGCGCTTCAGCCAGAAGACGATGCAGGCTGCGACCGACTTACGATTTCAGGATGATGAGGAGACGGAGGAGATGAGGAGGGGGAGGAGGAGGCTCGAGGAGGGTAGAGGCTCCGAGGGGGGAGGAGGAGGGGGAGGAGGAGGAGGAGGAGAGGAAGGCAGCGGTACGCATAGGCTGGAGGAGGGAGTAGGCGGTAGAAGCAGGAGGAGACAACGGCGAGGGAGGCGCAATCTAAGTCAGGAGAGAGGAGGGGGCGCAAGGAGGGCGAGGACGAGGAGGAGGAAGGAAGACGGGATGGAGGACAAGAGGGATATGGGCTAGCCACCCCCATCACTTAGAAGGCGGCATGGAGCATCGCGCACGAGGACGACGTTCAGAAGTTCTTGCGCGAGCAGGACCCCAGGAATAGGAAACCCGCGCCGAAGGTGGCTGCAGGGCACATGCACCACGGGTTAAGGGACTGGGCGAAGACAACTTGAGGAGGAACCGCCCCTACAGGGGCGGTTCCTCCTCAAGCATGCACGCCTGCTGCTGCCCACCTCCCCCCGCGCTTGCTCTATAAAGCAAGCGCGGGGGGAGGTGGGGGAAGGATTGAGCCAGGCAGTGTTACTCTTTGATCCAGTCGTCCCCTTCCCTCGCCCCCCCTTAGTCGTGCTCCCTCCCGCTGTCCCTCCATCCTCCTGTCGTGTCTCTCTGATCCCCCCGATCTCCATTCCGCCGACCTCGAGGGGGGGGGGTCGATCAGCCTGCCTGTCGCAAAAAGGTACATGCAGGCTCGGAGCATTCGGCGAATTCACGCGCAATGGCAGCGCATCAACGGCATCGACACGCAGCCCTGTCGCGAGGAGCTCCAGGACCCTCAAGGGGGAACTGAAGAGCGTCGAACTTGGGGCAGGAGTTACCCATATGATCGACATCCTTATTACATTCGAGAGGGCGTCGAAAGTTAAGGTAGCGTGGGCGCGGGGTAGGGGCCCACCCCTACACCGCGTCCTGGCCACTTTAGCATACGACGCCATCGATTTAATGCCATGCGGCTCCTTCCCCTCCTTCCCATCAGCGTCTGCCGCTTCCCAGTAGGAGAGCGCCGACAGCCAGATGGACACGCCCATGGAGGGCGACGACGAGATCTACGAGGGGGGGCAGTTCAGGAACCTGCTTCGGCAGGTTCCCCCCGCCCTCTCCCCCCTCAGCTTCCCTCTCATCCTTCTCATCCTTCTCATCCCCCTCATCCTCCTCGCCCTCTCTTCGTCCTCCAGAAAGTCGAAAGGCGCGTCCTGCTATCCTCCGACCTGCCCGCGCCCTCATCATCCTGCTCCTGCCGCCCCCCCCCCCCCCCCCCTCCCTCGATCCCTCGCGCATCCTATCTCCCTCGTCCGTCTTTCCTGCTCAGTCACCGTTTCTTCCCCGCCCCCTCCCCTCGACGCCCCCCCCCCCCCCCCCCCCTCCTCCTCAGACCCCCCTATCCTCTTCGCTGGGCCTTCGCTTGCCAGGCGCAGGCGGGCGCGATGGATCTTTGCGACGACGGGCCCGAGGCCGACGCCGTGGCCGAGGCCGACGCCGTGGCCGAGGCCGACGCCGTGGCCGTGGTCGAGGCCGGGGCCGAGGCCGAGGCCGACGCCGACGCCGCGGCCGCGGCCGAGGCCGACGCCAGCGCCAATTCGAGCAGGCTCAAGAAGATCCCGTTCATGCGGGGCCTGCTCGGCCAGAAGCACAAGCTGCATGCGAAGAAGTCGAGCAAGCGCAAGCACAAGAGGATCCTCCTCCGCCTCGATCCTCCTCCTCGATCCTTCTCCTCCTCCATCTCCCTCCTAGTCGCAGCTTCCCTGCAGCTCGTGCTACTCCTCCTCCTCCTCATCATCATCATCATCCTCATCATTGCGTTCCCCCCCCCCCCCCCCCTCCTATCCTCCTCCTCCCCCCCCCCCCTCCTCCTCCGCCTCCCCCCCCTCCCCCTCTTCCTCCTCCTCCTCCTCCTCCCCCTCCCCCCCTCCTCTTCCCCCTCGCCCATCATCCTCCTGTCCTCATCCTCATCCGCTTGCTGCGTGCCTCCCCCCCTCCTCCTCGGCCTCCTCCTCATTCTTATTCTCATCGATCCCCTTTTCCCCTCCTCCTTCTCACCCCCCCCCCGCTTCCCCCCCCCCCCCCCCCCCCCCCCCCTCCCCCCCTCATTTCCTTTCCAGGAGCTCGGAGAAGAAGGTCAAGAAGGAGCCGAAGACGGTCGAGAGGCCGCTCGGCATCAAGAAGGGGGAGGTGCTGGAGCACCCGAAGATCGCGCAGAAGCGCCCCGCGGCGAAGCGCCCCGCGGCGGCGCCAGGCGCTGCCCTTCGGCGCCCCGCGGCGGCCCCCAAGGCTCGAACGGGATCACTCGATTGATGCTCGAGGGCCAGGAGCGGCATCGGAAAATCGATGAGGAGATCCTTGGACCTCCTCCCTTCCGCCTCCGAGCTGGGGCCCTGCAGGGAGGAGGTCAAGGATCCTCGCCCTCGACCCCTCCGATTCGTTTCTCCGATTACGCACCGCCTCGTCATCCTCGAATCTCGCCCAGGCCTCGATCGAGGCCGCGATCGCCGCGCCCGTCGAGATCGATGAGCCCGAGGCCGAGGGGGAAGAGGGCGCCGATGAGGACGAGGTCCTCGAGGGCGGAGGCGACGAGGGCGCCGAGGGCGGAGGCGACGAGGACGCCGAGGGCGGAGGCGACGAGGACGCCGATGGTGAAGAGGAGGAGGGCGGCGATGACGCCGAGGGCGGAGGCGATGAGGGCGCCGGCGAGAGCCTCGAGGGCGCCGAGGGCGAAGGGGGGGGGGGCCCAGGGCGAGGGCGGCAATTAGGAGGAGGAGGCGGACGTGACCATGAACGTCGACGAGGCCGCCGCGGCCCCCGAGGCAGTCGCGGTCGACCATGAGGATGGCGACAAGGCCCCTTGGACTTCGAGGACTGGCAGGAGCAGGTGCTACTACG